CACAAACCGCTATCTCTGTGAGCTTTGAGCTGAACATCTGAGGAAGCAGCTAGAGGAAGTCAAGGATGGGAGGGGTCTTCAAGTGTCTCCTTCATGTTAAATTTGGACTTCTGTTCACAAAGTCCTCCTAGATAATAAACCCAAAATAGCAATACCTGTCCCCTTTCTAAATGAGATCTGTTGTTTTGCTTTGTGGAGGGATTTTTATTTTTTCCTGCAAAGTCGCAAAAGCTTCTTAGGGATTCTTGGCATTTACATCCTCTCACGTTTATTAGAAGGGAAATACTTAAGGTTAGCAAGATGCTCTCCATTTAACATTGGTCTGCTGTTTATTTCTCTGGGGTTTGCTTAAAGAAATGCATTGTGGGCTTTCCATGGAGCCCTGCTGTGTTTTAAAATGAGATTTTCTCTGTTTATTTACATTTCTAATGTAGTCAAACAAAACCTGAACCCATGCCCTCTCTTTGTGTTTTTCTTTGTGTGGCTCTGCTGTAGGGCCAAACAACCACCCATTTGTCTGTTTGGTGCCCAGTGGAGTGACGCTGTCCATTTTGTTTTATGGCTCTAGTGGACGGCACCACTTCAATCCCATCTTATTAATTTAGGATTATACAACTCCTTATGTACCTTCTGCATTCACCTGGTTCTGATCCACTACAAGATAATCCCATGGCTGTGTCCGACATCAGTCAGATGGGAGAGCTTTTCACTGATTAAGTATTAAAAATATGTGCATATCTCTGTGTAGATCAATGTTTGGTCTGGACATTCAGGCCTCCAATAGGACAAGTTTACAGAAAGTATGGTTGTAGCAAACCTGGGTTATTTCAATAAAACCATAGCAAAATGGTAATAACTTGCATTTAAAAACACTTGCATATATTAAAATGCAGGATATTTTTAAAGTGCAGTTAAAAAACAAATGTGTTGAAACCTATCTGCATGTTTATTTGCACATTTTCCCAAAATTTTAACTAAATTACTTTATAATTGCATTTCTGACTTTATTTTGCTGCTGCATTGATAACCACCCTGTGTGCACCCTAATGGATTAGCAGGGCTGTTTTCAGAGGCTGGTCACCCAGCCCACATTAAACTGTATCGACCAATTAAATGGAGCTTCCTGTGTCCATTGATTTGGCGTAGTGCTTCATTTTATTTTTGCTGTTGCATCAACTTCCCAGAAGTGTCAGCTTCCATTATGCACAGGGTTTTTTATCAGCTCTAGCGGCGGGAACGCAGCTTGTTTGTCTCACTAAGTGACAACATCAATTACGGTGCATTTAATGCTTGGGGGTTTCAGCTATTTCTCCTTTTTTTTTTTTTAATAAAGGATCAATAAATAGATCCAATATAAACAGAACAGAGTAGTACGACTAATTATTTCATTTACAGTCAGGAGAAAACGTTTTTCTCCAGCTGTGTGGCTCAGCACTGCCCCCTCACTGCTCATCAGCTGGCTGAGTAGAGGCTATTACACTTTTACATGGCATTTAAGAAAATTCATCAACTATAAATGATGATTTTAAACTCTGTTTAAAAGCTATTCTTCCTGCTTTCTCTTGTGCACACTGGTATGTTTGAAGCTGGCTTGCCTTCTCGCCGCCTCCTCTCTGAATGACACCACCCAAACAGGTTTAAAGCAATTACGTATGTAGGAAGAGGACTTGCGTCACATTTGATGTATGCAGGCTTAGCACACGTCTTTATGTCAGTGGCTGAGTTGATTGGCTAATGAGTTTCCCCGAGTGAATTCAATTAATTACCTGGATACCCTTTTGTTTAGTGTGTAATGACTGTCTGCTGCTAGGTATCAAATGTTTGATTAAGTCTGTTCAGTATGCAGAAACGTGTGCTGCCTCCTACATGTAGGAGAATTTTCACATCGCAGGCTTTTAGATGTGATGTTTGAAAACGTTCCCTTCAGGCTACGACACCAAACTTTATTGTCGACCACAAAACACGACAGCCATTAAGGAATTAGTATGGTAGCTGCCTGGAGCGGCCCTCACAGGAAGGCCTCTGACGCGTTTAAGGGACATTCGCCATCATCAACGCCATAGATATTATCTGCATAGATAATCCCCCTTATATTCTAAAATACAAACTGAAACGCATTATGACAAGTTGAAGGGAACAAGCTGAGGCTTCTGTGATTTTCTCTGCTTTGGGTAGTTGTTTTTGGAAATGTAAAAGTGAAAACTCAGACGGTACTAATGGGTGATGTAACCCATTTACTATGCAGAGAATTAATGTTTTTATTTTTTATTTTCCTTTTCCGTTTTGGCTGCTGTTGAACACTCTGTGTCTCAACAGGCTACCTGTCTTTGTTCCAAATCAAATTACTTTAGAGAAAGCACACGCATAACACATAGCACAGGAATAATACTCATGGGAGTGTAAAAAGGTATCTGCCCTTTTGTTTTTGTTTTTTTGTTTTTTCCTGTAGTAACACTTAAGTGTTTCAGATGATCAAATGTTATTATCAGGCTTAATATCGACAAACCAGTTTTCAAATGAGGATTACATTTTAGAGTTAAAAGCTAACCAAACCACCTTGCGGGGATAATCACCCACCCACCATGCTCAGATGGTGGGTGGGTGAGAGATAACTGCTGTTTTTTTGAAAGAGAAGTACCGGTAATCTATTTTTTTCCCTCTTTAGTTGGTTTTCATCGAGTTTCAGTGACATCTGTGTGGAAAGTCTTACAAAGCTTTGGAGAATGCATGGAAAAGTGTTGACTCTTTCCAGGCGTGCCTTGCTAACTAGCAAAATTACCCAAGGAGCAGATTGACGACTCTGTGGTCCAAAAGGAACACAGAGCAACATCTAAAGCACTCCTCACATGCCTTAGCAAGAACGGTTCAAGAATGAGAATCCTTCCCGTTTTAAAGACCAAAACCACTCCAGACCTGACCCACGTTTGTCATGTGGGAAAATATTTTGCCGACTTATGAGTCAAAAGTGGAACTTTTTGGCAGGTGTCTATTGCTACGCCTGGTGTAAAGCCAACTCAGCTTTTCAGAAAAAGACCTTAATGCTGACTTTTAATGATACTGGTGGTAGTTTAATGGGACTTTTCTTCCTTCAATTACTGAACAATTTGCTGCTCTTTACCAGAAACCATGAAGAAAAATATCTGATCAACACTTCTCTTTACAGAGTTTGGATATTTTTGGATATTCTCATCTGGAATCAATAAAGACCACCAGGGTTTGTTGTTTTTATAGTTGTAGAATTGTAACAGTACAATGTGCAGTGAATTGGAGGTGTTGCCTCTATTTCGAAGGCTACTTCAACTTTTATTAATTAATCATCACTTTCTGTTTTATAACAAAGAAAAACCTGCTTAAAATCCAAAACGTACCATCTGTGAAAACCCCCCTGAGCCTCTTTTAGGAACCGATCGCCTACGTACAGCCTGACCACAGAAATGAATCTCAATTATAATATCATGCACATCAAACACAAATACACAGTTACTGTCAGATAAGCGCAGCGAGGCTTTTAATGCTTCAGCGCGGGAGAGTGCTCCCAAAACGATCCAAATTTGGACAAGGATTCCACTCGGATAGTAGTGTGCCCTGAACAGGAGGCCGGCATGCGTTCATGTGTGTCTGTTTCTCCTGTGGACGCTTATGTTGTCATAGCAACCCGAGAAGAGAGGCACATGGTCCAGAGCGCAGCCAAGGGGTCATGGGTTGGAGGCGTTTGTTTATTTTTTTTCTTTTGTATTTTTTTTTTATTATTGTTTATTACTGTTCTTAAAAGTAAAGCACAGCAAACTGTATCTTTGACATTAAGATATATTAATTGAAAGGGATTTCTTTATACAAAATAAAAATTTCACTGGTCTTTTCTGATATTGGAACTTTCCACCAGTACAGAAACCATGCATTGTTTTTATTTTTTTTTTTAAAACTAAATTGCGCACAACATAACACCGTTTGTATGTATATTTTTTCAAACCAGTATAAAATCACCATACTTTTTCCATTCAGCATTTCATAACCCTTACCAGTTAATGAAAAGTACGTCAGAATCTCAGACCTGCTCACTCTTTGTGCAAATTCTTAGTCATCATAGAGATTGTCTCGAAACGCCTCCATCATGATTTAAATCGTTCTTAAATTAGAGCTTCCACACTTGCTACTTTTTTTAGTTCTCGTGGGCATCACTTGTGTTGTCGCTGTCAGCTTGGTTTGTGCGGCAGCTTGGGTTGTGGGTGGTGTTGGTTAGGACACGGTTCGAACGGCTCTACTGTCTAATTTGAGATGGTTTTCATAGATTTCATTTTCATTCAAAGGAGACATTTGCGCGTTTTGCTTCCAGGGGTGACGAAGCGGTTTACGTGCAGCTTTTAATTGAATGAATGGAGCCGTTTTGGCAGAGATTTTAATTAATTTTTCTTTTTTTTTTTTTCTTTTCAGATTACTTAAACAGTCTGTTTCTCCACATGAAAAACATCTGCTGGGCGATGTATGTTATCATGTCCATAAGATCCAATAAATAATCAGGCAAATTTTCAAATTATACTAATTAAAATTTGTTGGAGCCAATACCTTAATAAAAAGTGCAATAATTCAGCAAATGAATGAGTTGGTAATATTTATATTTGAATTGATAATTATAAAACTTAATTTTTAGAACTTATCTGGGTGAAACTACCTGAATTTCTGGGACAAAAGGTTTGGCTCTCATTTATAGCTGACCTATTCCACTTTTCCCCTTCTCTTCATAAATTATCAGTATATAAACACAACACGTCAACAGCTATATCAGCCAGCGTAGCGTTACACTCTGCGGTATTTCAAGCACCCCTGCTATGTGCAGGCATTTTGGTAAAGCTCCAGCTGCCTAAATTCCTCAACAGTTCTGGACACACAGAGCAATCCATCAGCAGGACTCAAATGCTCTTTCCCACTGACATAAACTCACGTCGAAGTGTGTGTGTGTGGGGAGAGGTTTGTGGTCTCATTCTGCTCCCCTTTTCTTTTAGGCTTGCATAGATGACAACATTGACATGGTGACATTCCTGGTGGAACACGGAGCCAGCGTCAACCAGCCCGACAACGAGGGCTGGATCCCCCTCCATGCTGCAGCTTCCTGTGGATACCTCGACATAGCAGAGTAAGGATCTTTTTTTTTTTCTTTCTTTCTTGGAAACATTATCAGATTTGAGTTCTGCTTACTCATCCTTTACATCCTGTCTTGTTTTTACACTGAATGCTGCACTCTTTAATCTAAAGATCAAACAAAAATGGATGACTGCTTTGACCCATGAGTTCAGTTTGAGCCTGACTATTTCACCATTTTCTTTGCCGTTTTGTCTGAGTTTCCTTAACACTACGAAAACACACAGAACAAAACGGCTAAGATATTTTTCAATGCTATTCTACCACATCAGTGCTGATGCTAACAAAATCTAACAAAACAGTGTTATAACTACCTTTTATTGGTAAATTCTTTGTATTACACTTCTTGACTATTAGGAATAGAACATGTATTTTTTTTTATTAACAATTGAGCTGCGGACACAAATAGGCAAGCAGCTGACCTTTTCTGACCATCTTCACATACCATTAAGCTGTCAGTGTCTTTGGCTTTCTTTTATTTTGTTTCTCTTCTGCCCGTTTTTCTGATCAAAATGGCATAACAGCAAAATAAAAGGCTGAAGTTTATATATTTATATGGATCTGCCACCACTGGCAGCTTCTAGCTGCAAAGCTGTGTGCTGTGCTGCTCTCAGTAGTGAAGGAAAACCAGAGACAGTCCACAGTAGAGGGAAAGAAAGGTACCTAAGAAAGGTTAAGTCAAATGCATTTTCGGTTCATGCCTGTGAAAACAACTTGAACATTAACGCTTCTTGCATTTGAATGACGGTAACGTAGTGAATGTGGTTTGGACTTCATGTTTCAGATGCATTTGGTACAGCACAACACGGCTTAATGTCGGGTATTTTTTCTATTGACTCACTTCTGGTTGCATTTTCAGATGAGAATGTTAAAACATTTTCAGAGAAAGATGTTGATATGGTGTTAGATGGAGAGATTAAGGTTGGACAGTTGGACAAATTTATCGACCATCAGCGGCCCCTCACCTGGTCGTACTTTTAAAAGCAATTTTTCTTTTTTGTAGGGTTTTTATTTCTCCCTAATAGTTACTTTCTAAATTAATAACAGTGCTTGATTGAAGCCAAAAGACACAGCTCATGGAAAAAATAACTAATGCATTTAATAGTGCATACAAACTCCTTCCAGCTGCAAACAAAGCTTTTGTTTTCCCCAGAGACCCTTCAAAAGCAGCGGCAATTTATTTATTCACTTATAACAAAGGCATTCGTTTAGATAATAATTTATTGTGACACAATTCCCTCACGTTCTCAGGAATTTAGAAATGATAGTGATTTGTACCGTGACGTGTAATATTTAAATATAAAGTTCCTTCTGTGATATTGGTGATTGAAACAAATCTAACACTTAATAGATATTATGCTACTCAACATTAATGGGCTTCCTCAGACTGATTTCCAATACAACAGGCCGAAAAAACTGTTTTCATCCAGAGTTGCGTAGAATTTCCATAGAGATTATGTGTTAGTGTTGGGTTGTCAGAGTTCAGGGCTTTTTTAATTGAGGTTCTTAAAGCTGAAGCTAACGGCTAACCAATACGAAAGCAGACTTCTGCCATCTTCTGTCATTTGCTCCAGAATGTCACTGTGCAGTTATTTGCACAGGAAATGGAAGTAAATGGTGTGATACCATTGATTTTGTCAAACAGTCCAAAAATAGAACATGTGAAGCATTTCAAGCGAGACCCTCACATGGAAGTAAGGTGGTGTTAAACTCATTTCTTCACTTTGTGTAGAATATTTGTGTTTTTCACTTTGTTTCCTATTTGTTTCTGGTGTAAATAATTGTCTCATGTGTAAATTACTGAATAATGCAAACAGGGCTCTTTAAAGATTAATCAAATAGTATGACTATGACTTTAAACTGGAGTTGTTTTAAAGTCTGCTTTGGTCGCCTCCTTTGGCTAGCTGTTAGCTTTAGCCTCTAGGTCCAATAATCCTGAGTATATTTTAAATCTAGGCTCCAACAGTAATTTGTTGTGATTAAAATAACAGTTTATAACCTTTTCAAGAAAACATTTCAAAATTCTAAACCATCACTTCTAGGCCCAAACTGTGAAACTCATGTGCTTTTTGACCTTGAAGTACTCACTCATGATTGAAGTTTGAATCCTGACGTTCTCACACTACGTAAGATTGCTCTTCAAAGAATGAAGCGATGTTCCCTGTGTCGGTGAGGGTTGATTGACTTGTTGCCAGCTGAAACAAAATAACCACCTCAGTAATTTTCCAACAGGAGTTTCTTTCATCTTTACTAGGTTAAATTTAGGGGGTGACTCCTTTTTTAGCTGGGCTTTGCGGTTCAGATGTGTTTTAGCATTGTAGAGTATTTTCAGCCACCTGCTAATTTTGTATTAATTTGAAAATATTTCAGGCCACAAAATCGGGAACACTCGGGTTATGGAAACTAAAGCAGCACCACCATCACTTCTGCAAAGACGATGCTTTAAATCAGTCAACTCTAGTTAAAAAAAAAAAAAACAACCATTACCTGATCCAGAGTTATGGTTGGTGCTCCTTCAGTTTCAAAGCGGTGCCTGTTTTGCTTAATCTAGAAATACTCCCTGTGGTTAATGGTTCTTTGTAATGTTCTTCTTTGTCCTACAAAACTCAAATTTTCTGGACTTTGTGGCGAAAACACAAGAACTTACTTTGGAAAAAGTCCAATCTCGTCAAACAGCCCCATAGAAAATATCTAACATTGCTGCCAGTCATAAAGAATGCAGCGAAAGTTTAAACTATCTACAGTTCTGACTGTAGAATACTTCTTTGAATTAACAGATAAAATGGAAATGTATGCTCAACGTTGAATATTTCAAACAATTGTTAGCAACAAAACAAATGGCTAATCCCACTATTTAACGCAGAATTTATCTTATGAGACGGGGAACGGCGAACGTCTGTCAGCCAGCAGTGAACGTCAACGGGTTGTTTTAAAGCCTCTGCATTCTCGCTTCCAGTAACCTTCCTATAGCTATTTGTTAAACTCCCCTTCAATATTTACCAGTTCTGGTGTCTTGACATAAAAACCCTTGTTTTTGTTGTTGTTGTTGAATTCTAAGAGATTAGGGTCGCTCTCTACACCTAGAGCTGCACTCTAGTGTTTCTTGCCCTTTTTGTATTTGTCAGCTAAGAAGATGGCTCATGTTGGCATAAACCAACACACAGATGTTATCTGGAGATATTTAAATGGGCTGAAGGGGCTAAAGGAGCTCAGTAGTACTCATTGTTCAGCATAGTGGGAGTGTTCTTTGACCTGCTTTACTAGGGTTACATTTCAGAAGTCTAGCTCCGGGCTGATATGTTTTTTCCAAAAACTGCATCTGGCAGGGGAGAAGCAAACATACGGTATTGAATAACATATTGAAAAATTCTGCTTCGTTTTGGTCTAAAAACGGTCAGTTCTGAGTGGATCCTCAGGAACACACCAGCAAGAGGCAGCGTAACAGAAAACAAGAAGTCATTTGTTTAACATTTTCGGGGAAAATGTCAAGTGGCTGTGCCGATATGGGTGACTAATGGAGACATCATGTCACAGAGGGAGAAACTACAACCTGACGTAGGCTGGAAGCTCTCAGTAGGTCCATTTAAATCCCAGCATCCTCTTTTACAATCGCTGTAGTCAATGAACAGAGCCAGATCTGTTTGGCTCCGTTCTCACCAAGGTCAACCTAATGCAGGCTTTGGGTACGAAACTCGGTGAGACTGCAGACCACAAAACCACAGAACCTATTGAGCCAACCTTGGGGGGGGGGAAAGGAACAGAACGTCCAATCAAAAAGGTTGAAAATTTGACGTAATTGTTCTTGGTCAGTTTCTATTTGTGTGAAATTCAAGAGTGTTTGAAGTGGGTTGTTGGTCTAATGAGAAAGGCCTGAGTGTGACCACCGCTTTAATTGGAGGCAGCTGAACTAGAGAGGCTTAATGGTTTAAATGTCTTCAGTTGCTGCAGGAAAGAAGGCCTTGAAATTAAAATGACATTTGCTTCATCTGACTTCATCTTTTTATGCTTTATTTTTTAAAGCCGCTGCGCTTTCTTCATAGCCTTAGGAGACCCAGAGAAACAAATGCAATTAAATCAAGATTTTGGCTAATAAATATTAGAGCCGCACAATGTATTGGACTGGACTAGTCATCCCAATGTCAATGCATGCACTACGGAGACGGCAAATTACTGCAGTGGTTTAAGGTGCTATGTGCTGAAACTATGCCAAATTCATAATTGGGAGTTTTAATGGATCGCCACCATATTTGATGCCCACACCTGTTAAGATCTGAGTGACCAGGCAGACCAGAATCCAACATTCAGTGGTGAAGATAATAAAATGATTGAAATGTTTCCATTTTGTTACTTTCTACTCCCATTTCTTACCTCCGTGTGAATCCTTTCGTACCTTTCTTGAACCATTTTGTGTCACTTTATTATTCTTTGCAATTATGGAAATGCATGTAATGTTTGGATGTTTATGTAGTTTCCATTGATTATGGTTCATGCTTGGTACCAAACTTGTTTTCTTTCTTTGGCAGATAGATTTCTAAACATTCATAATCTAACATTGTCATCTTATTGGCTCATTATGTAACCCTGTTACAGAATAAAATGTCATGCATTACTCCTGTGTACTTGTATGAATGCTCCTTTAGCACAGTTATGATTATTTAACTGCATTGATTGATTACAATTTCTTTAAGTGTTATATCTACCTGACCTGTAAAACAATACGCACCAGTGAGCTCCACCACCGGCATTGGAACTAAAAGCAAAAATCATCAGGTTCCTTCCTATCTACCAGTTTCCTCAGAGGTTTTAGGAGCTAACGATTCCCTTCACATTGTTTTGAGGAATGAAATTGCTGAAATTCTCCCCTGCAGGTATCTGATCAGCCAAGGTGCTAATGTTGGAGTTGTGAACAGTGAGGGGGAGACGCCTCTGGACATCGCTGAGGAGGAGCCAATGGAGGAACTTCTACAAAACGAGATTAACCGACAAGGTACAGTATGTCGTCCATCCCCCAACTCCCTGTGGGATGAGCCAAAACTTCTCATTACTCAGTTTAGAAAAATGTGCTGTTGGCAAGTATCTTGATCATTTGGTAAAGTATGACTAACTACATTTGACTGTATTGTAATGGGGTTATTGGACTGTGTGTGAATGGATCTGAATCTTACCGTATGATTGGATTGCATCAAAACAATTTGAATTGAAGTTAATAAATGCCTTCATGACATTCTTTGTTAATGGCGCCATTTCGAAACACAGAACTGAATCTAAAAGAAAATATGAACGTATAAATATTTGGAACCAACTTTATTACATAATGTCTAGAATCAAATGATGCACTTAAATTTTAATGGCATCCTGAAGGAGCCTCTTGGTATTTCATGCATGCAAGTCTGTGTTTTGAAATATGAACTAAAGAGTCGGTGCGTCAGCCACCTGCTGCTTTCCTGGCTCCCTAATATAACTAACTCGTTATAGAAAAGTCATCCATCTGTGTCATTCACCGTCATGTGATGATTCAAAGTGAAAAGTTGAGTTTTTACTATTTCTGTTCGGGACACTCCTTCATGGAGAGCAGCTGTCCGCCAGCGTGTCACCCGGCTCCTGTCCACAGGGGGCGCTCATCAGTTTGTATTGTACAAAAAGACCTGGTTCATTGTCTGAGGCATCAACTGTGTTGGATAAATCAATTTGTTTGTTTACGGTCAACAAGTCGCATTGCATGTGCATACATTTCCACCTCAACAGATCTATATGTGATACTTAAAGCATCTTTATTTGCCTTAAGTATTGGATCACCCTCAGCCGAATCCCCCATTATTAAATAATTCTAAATTGTTTGCAATGTCCAGATCTCGGCGAGCAAAATCCAAGTTTTGTTTGTCAAAACAAAAACAGGATTGCTCTTTTCTTTTCTTTTCTTTTTTCATGCTAGAGGTAGTAGGCAGCATTATGCAACTAGCTGTTGTGTAACACTTCCCTGCGTTTGTGGTTTGATTTTTCTGTTTTCAGATGGACACCACAGAGTTAAACTTGTTAGCAAGGGGCCAACAGAATCGCTCAGCTTAGAAAACTTGTCCTCGATTCTGTAGAGGGAACTCCCAAAGCTCCATCTTCAAATTGAAATCTGGAGATTAATGCTGCAGTGGCATCGTTTTCATGTCATCATCAAATATTTCAGTATTTCACTGCGATCTGTGTCATCTCACGTCAGACTCGTTTCTCTCACTTAAGGAAAATCAGCTTTGGAGTGCCAAGTTTTCCACTTAGCTCTTGCTCTGTTGCTGCTTAGAGGCCATTAGGCTCCATGCTTTTTATAGACTGTGTTGTCTGCTTCAGTAGAGATCAAAGGATGCTGGCTGACCCGGTCAGCCCTGGTTCTCTACATTAGGTAAAATGATGTGCATCAGTTTGCTGTCATGCTCTGGTGAATTGCATTGAATGCAGTGCCTTGCATAGACATTTTTGAACTTTTCCATGTTATCATGTTGGGGTAATCTCTACTGCTTTTAGTAAGAGTTTGTTGTAGACATTCAAAACTTTGCAGTGATAGAAAAATGATGCCTGGTTTTATCTTTTTTTTGTGGGATAGCAGTCTGTTTTCTGTCTCCAAGGTGATGCTTTGTACAGCAATTCATTTTAAATGGGTCTCTAACCATGTGGTTGCACCCAGAGCAGAGGTCAGTGACCTTTAGTTCAGATAAACAAAATCTGTTTAGAGAAACAAATGACCTTAACAGAACCTACTATATAATTTGTTTCTATTAAATTAAAGGGTAACTACTTTAAGTCTGATCATTTATTTTTAAATGTCAAAATACATAATTTGCAACAAAGACAAAAAATTGCTTAGTAGTTATTATTGCACTGCTGTTGTAATTTTATACAGAAATGTTTTGCATATGTTACTTTAAAACACCTATGAATAGTTGCCAAAGCTGATTTAAAAATAAATAAATACTTTACATCTTAAAACTTTGCCTAATGCTTTAGCATTTGTAGCCAAAGTTATTGAGATCAACAGTGGAGTCTTAAATGCAACATGTGGCTCTTGAGCTTCAGGTTGCAGAATAGCTCAATCTCAGACGAGACCATTTATGTCACTAATTGTTTTTGTTGAATTATAAAACATTGATATTTTGTAAAGTTGAGAAAATATGAATGCAGTCAAACTCCGAACCAGTGGAAAGTAAAATAAGATGGCACGACTCTAACTTTCCTCCTTCTACTTTCTTTAAAATGTCGGTTTTTCCTCAACCGAGCATTTGCCAACCCGAGCATGCAGTCGCAGGCTTTCCTTTTTTAGCTTTTGATCAGAATGGAGCAAAAAAGCTTTATGATGAGCTTAAGCTTGGCTCTGACCCCAGAACACTTCTTGGGTCTTTGTTTATGTAATGCAGTTGAGGCTCCGCTGGAAAATCAGTGCAACACGCAGCAGTGAGTTTTCAGGCCATGTTTCAGCCAGGTGTCACACTAAGTCGGGGCTGTTTTCACCGCTTCCTTGTATGGATTGTATAACACTGACATACTGACCCACTTAACCAGCTAAGCAGCGTCTGTGTTTGCAACTATTGTGTTGTTTAATTTACTGGATATTGGCACAAACTGTTCCCCCAAAGCATAACAAAGTACTCAACAAAACCCTTGTATTCGGAGGTGGCGCTATAATTATCTACGGTCTGGTTTTCCTCTTCCAGAGCCTGAAATACAGCATATAACACAAAGACTTGGCTGAAGTTAATTACAGTGATGCCTACGGTTGAAACTGTGGCTTGTTTTGTGGCTGATTATGTGGTGTGTGTGTGTGTGTGTGTGTGTGCGCGCGCGTTTGTAGAAGTTCGACTGACATCACCTGACAAACTGTAAATGAAGCCAGGTGAGACATCTTTCTGGCATGCTTGCCAATCAACCAGATGCAATCAAATGTGTGGAAATGTTGATAAAGGTGCCAAGAGTTATTCTACTATTTCCACTTTGGGAATATATCTGGCGAGGCAGCAGCTTTCTCCTCCGAATGCAGGTAGTCTTTACGGTTTCATTTGTCTTCATTCCTCCAGGGTTGGACATAGAGGCAGCCCGAAAAGAGGAGGAGCGCATCATGCTGAGAGATGCTCGGCAATGGCTGAACAGCGGCCAGATTCAAGACACCCGGCACGCCAAGTCGGGAGGAACGGCGCTCCATGTAGCCGCCGCCAAAGGATACGTGGAGGTTTTAAAGTAAGCATCGCTGCATGTAGCAACCTGCAGCACGACGCTGGTTCACCGGGTGCATTCAGAGGAGCACAAGGGGACGAAGTTGGGTTATGACAGCGGTCGTAACACAAGATTTCCCAGCGTAGTTGCGTCTTATCATTTTGCTTTGTTTTGACATGGTTTCTGTGGGTTGTTAGTACACTTTGCGCCGCGTGAGCATCGGAGCGGCAGCAACTCGTTCCTCGGCTCCGGGATGACGGCCAGAACGCCGCTGCCTGTGGTTCTTCGAGGTCCTGTGTGACACTGAGCTGTCGGTTTGCTCTTCATCCAGCTTTAGCAGTACAATTGAAATAAAACACACAATTTGCAAAGTTTAAAAAGGACGTTTTCACAGAGTTCCTCGCAAAACAGTTATATCTCTTAAACTTGGTCACGTGTTCTTATAACAACCACAAATGTCAATGTTTTAGGGTATTTTATGTGATAGACAAACCCAAATTTGTTTCTTGCATTTATATTTAACCCCTTTTTACTCCAAATAAAGGTCTGGAAATGCCAGAGAGGTCGGGGATAAAGTTGTGGAGAAGCTTAAATCAGGATTAGGATAAAAACGCATTCAACACTGCAAAAACTCAAAATCTTACCAAGTATTTTTTGCTCTAGTTTCAGGTGCAAATATCTCGGAGCTTTTGAAATAAGACAAAATTAACTTAAAAATAACTTGAATAACCTATAGAAACTTGTATTCTGGCAGGTTTTCCTACTTATAAGAAGATGTTTTTCCAAAATTTTAAGGAAAATAATCTACCAGTGAAACTAGTTCATTTTTATTCATATTAAATAATTATTGACTTGTATCTTGCATAAAAGTTGCTTAATAGTTTTACAGTGAAGATCAATTACAGTGCAGTCCCGGTGCGTCACAAACGATTCTACTTAAATATTTTGCTGCATGTGATCATGAACTACTTTTCCAAAGCAGAGATTTTTGTTAATCTGACTCGAGGTTGTGTCGTTCTTGGCAGCTGCTTAAAGTATCAGTTATCAACATTCACTAATTCACACACTCTTTCTGTCGCCCAGGCTTTTAATCCAAGCAGGTTATGACATAAATATTAAGGACTATGATGGCTGGACGCCTCTCCACGCAGCGGCGCACTGGGGCAAAGAGGAGGCGTGTAGAATACTCGTGGAGAATCTGTGCAACATGGAGCTCGTTAATAAAATGGTGGGTATTGGAAGCTTGTTGTTACTCGCGCAGTGTTTCTGCAGCACTTGACTTATTTTTACCTCTTTCCCTTCAGGGCCAGACTGCTTTTGATGTAGCTGATGAAGATGTTCTGGGATATTTAGAAGAGCTACAAAAGAAACAAAACCTGGTGAGTCACTGACTGGATACTTCGTTCAAGCTTAATGAGTTTGGATGAGCTTCTGAGACCGATTGTCATTCTTCTTGTCTTTATTCCAGCTGATGAGGGAGAAGAAGGACGCGAAGAAGTCTCCTTTGATTGAGGTGACAACCACAGGAGACAACAACCAATCACTGAAACCACTCAAAAGGTAGAGGCGGGGGGTGTAACATGAGGGGGGAAAAAATAAATCTGTGCAAATATTTACATGAAAGGATCACATTTCTGCTCTAATTTCCGCTTCAGCAAAGAAACGCTGCTTCTGGAGCCTGAAAAGACCGCGCCGCGCATCGAGACCTTAGAACCGGAGAAGGTGGACGAAGAGGAAGAGGGGAAGAAGGACGAATCGAGCTGCTCGAGTGAGGAGGAGGAGGAGGAAGATTCAGAGTCTGAAACTGAAGCAGGTGATGTTCGCAAAAAGAAAAACGTGAATTAAGAGATTTTGCTGAATATTTGTCATTATGACGTAGCTAAAAATGTTCTTTATTACAAGACAAGAGCAAGCCTCCGGCAGCGGTGACCAGCAGCACGACGACGACAACGACCCCGGCCGCCGTCAGCACGTCGTCTCCGACGAGTCCAGCAAATCAGGTGACGACGCCCACTTCACCAGTTAAGAAGGTAAAACCTCTCGGCTGAATTTCTTATTAAAACAGTTTAGTCTTTGAGATTTCGTTGAATAAACCCTTTTAAGGAAGTCCAGAGTTGCAGCTCAGGCATGATCCAACGGTCATCCTGCTGGTTTAAGGGGGTGATTTCTTTTTCAAGGCACTGTATGTGAATGCAGGTGGGCAGGATTGAACATAGTGCTGATATTAATTCACTCTATAACTGAAATCAGTTAAATAAGTTTTTTTTTTGTTTTTTTGTTTTTCTTTCTTTGGCTCTTAAACAAAAAGGAATTCCCATTCAGAATTACTTCTTGGAAAATTTGGATCTATAAAAGCTCCAGATTTCAGCTGTAGATTTTATTTTCCTTGGTCAATTGTGTTGTTGCCACTTTTGGATCTGCTGCCCTCTGCTGGCAAAAAGACTCAACTCCTCCTCTAGCATTACTGAGCATGGCAAAATGTAAGCTGCTGTGGCTGCTTGTGTGACTAAGGGAAAGCAACTGAACTGTCTTGGATGGCCAGACGCTGCTGACTGAATCAAAAGCTGTGTGGAAAAGTTAAATCGACACAGGAAGTGTTGAACTCAGTCACTGAGTTTAACTCATCCTGTCTGCTTCAGTAGTTCTGCTTCTTAAACGTCCAGACTTTATTTAAAGCCTGGTTCTTACACGCCACACCTGATTGACAATTGAGCATTTTTCGTACCGATCCACTGCAATTATTTCACCTGATCGGCACCATTAGTTCGGCGACTCGGCTTTGAAGTCCTCACGCACAAAGTGTGTCTCTTTTGCTTCTGCTTCTGTCTTATTTTCTTTTTCAACCTTTCTGTCTTCCTCCCTGTCCGTCCCGTTTTATCATCCTCGGCTCTTGCCGCGGTCGCCTTTTAGTTTGATTACATTACACCTCTCATGCCTTTGGCGGAGCCAGGCTGTCCTGCATTGTGGCGTCAAGGTTTGCGCAAAACTGGCATTTCTCTTGTGCCCAAAAAACCCATGGTGAGGCATTGGTGTGCACCAGAGTTGTTGTCTCATCCTACATGCACTTGTGCACTCTCACAAAGCACTAAAGTCTCCCCTAACTCCCCACCTGTTCCATGTGATGTAGGATTTTTCCACTTGCTGGGGTTGGCCTGTTAAAGAATTTTGCGCAGCAGTAAGTTGTGATGTCTTCAGGGGACGGCAGCTTTTGACCTGCAGATGCCACATCATCAATCACTTACAGCTTTCCATTATGTTTTCACTAACAAATGAAGTAAATATTTGTACAATTGTGTAAAAACTAAAATTTTTAATTCCCCGCAGAATTCTTTTGACCTATATTTAACCATGGCTTCTACCCTAGTGGAAAAATCCAACAAGTGATTGAACTTCCTTTTCACTCATCAACATTACATGGTGCTTTTTTCCCACTTGTAATCAACAAATGCACTGCTAATATTTTTTTAAGTTGTGTTTGTGTGTTTCCTGTGTTTTAAACTGCTTTCATCCTCTGACAGAGGTTAAAATAGTATGGAATCAAAGTTTTCTTTGCTAAAACCTTAGATCGAAGCCAAATCGTAAAGCTGATGGGAAGATCTTTTTTCTTCTTGGGGTTTTATCCTTAAAAACATAAAGTATAAAGTGTTTTGCATAAGTAATTGTTCCCCTTCAGCTTTTCACATTTTGTCACATTACTATGACAAACTAAAGACTTTTATATATTATGACCGAGAAAGTTGCATATAAATGTGAAAAAAGAAACATGATGATTCAAGGTGGGTTTTCTTGTTTAATTACCCCCAAAAATAAAGTGTGTATTCAGTTGATTTACACTGAAAAGTGTGAATAAAATTCAGTGTAATCGGTGATGGCAGCATCATGCTACATGAGTTAGCATGGCTAGGGAAACTGACTGGAGCTGATGGTCAATTCAAAGCCATCCTTGGGTAGAGGTTCCCTTTCTAACCTAATGACTTAGATGAAAGCATGTCCATATGTTAAAATGGCCCAGTCAAAGTAAAGAGCTGTCTTAGGTTGCTCTCTGTGCAGTCAGATTTGTGTTGGTCTGACACAATAAAATACATTATGCTTGTATGTAACCTGACAAAATGGGAAGAGGTGCAAGGAGATAAATACACTTATAAATTAATCAGCAAGCGTTTGACGTGATCCCCCTTTGTTGCTTACTAAAACTACTAAGAATATAGCTGTAGTCATGAACATAAATGTGTATTTCAGTGTTATCTAAGCTGCTGCGTCACCCTTTCGTTCTCCAGGTCGTTCAGCCTGCCGGAAAGGTCTCAACCAAAGTGGAGGAGGACAGGAAGGACGAGTCTCCGGCTTCGTGGCGTCTGGGTTTGAGGAAGACGGGCAGCTACGGCGCGCTCTCTGAGATCACAGCCACAAAGGAAGCTCAGAGGGAAAAGGACACTACAGGCGTGATGCGTTCAGCCTCCAGCCCTCGCCTCACCTCATCCCTGGACAACAAAGAAAAAGAAAAGGTCGGGAGCAACAAGTTAGACGATTAGTTTTTTCAGTCCAGCGTTCCATTTCTACTGCGAGCAGAAAATACTTTCATACTCATTTTGTCAGACGCATAATTTTGTGGTTGTGTAATCCAGCCTTTACCATTCCTCGCAAAAGTATCGGTACACACCAACTTTCTGGAATGGCTTTTATTTTAATTTTATCCCATAAATAGACCACATTTTGTGAAGGTTGTGTCTCCTAACAAGTGTTAATTAGCCTGGGAGTATCACAGGCTTCTGCCTTTTTCTATTAATGTTTTTTTTTTTAAAAAAAGAAGATCTTTTTACTTACTTTTGTGTGATGTTTAAAACAAGAAATTCTTGTTTTACACTGCTAACAGAATGCTTGTTTGTTTTGATTGCTACAGGAGAAAGACAAAGGAACCCGGCTTGCGTACGTGGCCCCGACCATCCCCAGGAGACTTGCCAGTACTTCAGACATCGACGAGAAGGAAAACAGGTGAAGCCCTGGAGCAGAGTAGCGACTCTGTGCAAAAAAAAAAAAAAACATCACATAATTCAATGCACTAATGCTTTGATTGTAGAAGTCGTAGAAGCAAATGATGAGGTAAAGAAATGGAAGGAAACTTTTAAAGAGCTTGTGGCTCCACAGGGACTCCACAGCTCTGATACGTAGCGGCTCTTACACCCGGCGACGCTGGGACGACGACCTGAAGAACAGCGAAGGAAGCTCCTCCACCAACCGGACCTCCAGCTACCAGCGCAGGTTAGCTCCTGCTAAACCTCCATCCCTCCCCTCAGCGTCTGCTCTCTTCCTTTAGATCTGACCTGCTGCAATCGCCACTAGTTGCTTTTCATAGTCAGATCAGCCGATATGTATGTACATGCTTTTATTTGTAGCCTCTCTACCCCGGCCACAGTGTGTTGCATGACTGTGCCTGTTCTGTCAAGCCACAGTTAAAATGCACCACTTTTTTGTATTTTAACAAGCCCAGCTACTGTTTGTTGCGTCAGATAATTCATATTCCCGTTTGTGACACATGAGCATAGACTAAAGCTGCATTCATAACCCGACGAGTTATGGCTTTAAGCCATCTATTAAAAACGGCTTCAATCTGGAAACTTTTTCTGTCTCCCTACCGAAAATATTATAAGAAAAGATAGCAGAAAGTAAAGTTCTTTTATTCCCAGACGTCATTAAGTTTTGTGTTGCTATGAATGCAGCAGCAGTGTGTCCAAGCTTCATAGACTTAAACATGTTTTGTGTGTTTTATATGTAAATGTTTGTCCGTGTTTGTGTGTGTGTGTGTGTGTGTGTGCACCTCCACCGCTAACTCTCTTGGCCACCTGCGTGCCGACACACTAGCACGTCCCATACGCTAGCGCTGGGGCGGAGCGGCAGCACGCGGGACGTGCCAGCCAAGTCTTCGTCAACCTCCAGCTTGGATCCTAACACCTGTAATACTAAACCCTGGCAGCCACCCTCCTCCCACTACCCGTCCTACAGCATTTACCGCAGGTACACCGCTGCCACCACACCCTGCTGTCCTTTCTGTCCGCCTCTCTGCTCCGCTGGACGTTCTCTGTCTTCCCTCGGTTTATGCGGCAACGTCTCATACTCTTGAGTTGCTTAAGTTCAAGGATTTTTGTTTGTCTAAATACTTTAAATGCAGGAGGAAAAAAAACAAAAACCCTGAACTTCTCAACATCTTGCCTTCAAACTACAATACATTCTGTCAAAAAAATTTGAAATAAATTCCAGATTGTGTGTTTATAACTATTCAGTATAATACCCCTAAATATAAAAGCAATAGTAAAAAAAAAAAAAAAAAAAAAAAAAGGGGGGAAAAAATTTTTAGCGGGAAAACTTATAGGAATTTAAATGATTAGTCAGAGTTGATGGAAAGATGAATGGAACTAAATTAAGGCAATTTTGAGGGAAAAAACCTATTGAAGGCTAGAAAAGGCTTGATTCCAGTTGCAGAATCTCACCTTCCAGCTAAAGTGACAGTTTGATTTAAATCATAGCCTGTGTTAGTATAGTGTGAAGGGTCTATAATAAGACTTGAAAACATCTGTTTTCAAGTCTGAATTACATTATAAACAAAAATGAGCTAAAATTTAATCTGTAGATGTTCAAAACTGATGAGCTCATGCAAGTTGCAGCTGTAAATTTACTCTATGAAGTATTAACTCAGAGGTTTTTATCTCCACTTATAATCTTTTCCTTCCACTTTACAAATACTAACTATTTGGTTTATCACATAAAATCCTACTAAAATACTTTTGACGTTTATAATAATTAAAGACAATGTGGGGGAAAAAAGTGAGGTATGGATATTTTTTTTTACAAAGCACTGTAAATGCATTTTGAAAATAACTGATCTGCAGTCTTCCTCCCTACTGAGTGGAGATTTTTGCTAATCTGAGTCGTCTCAGCCCTCCAAGCACAAACTCTCCTCAGTCTCGGTCTGACCTGTTCTCTCGCTCATAACGTTAAAGAACAAACGGCAATAAAATCCTACCAGCAGTCCTGTAATAAGGACCTCTAAGTAACGCAGATGCGGCCGATGCTGGGTTTTTCCCTTAAGAGGCATCAGCTGCTCTGACTTTATGTGCAGGTTTCACTGTGACTCGGTTTGTTTCCTGGTGAATCGGTGAACACCCTAAACTCATCAGATTTATGTGGCGTATCGGCTTCAATCTACCCTCGGCAAAGGAGCAGGACAGAGATGACGCACGGGGGGATAAAAGAGCGGGTGGGAAAAAAAGCAGATCGGTTCACTTATGTAACATCTGTGTCCCTTCAGCGGCTCTTTCGGCAGAAGACACGAGGACCTGAGCTCCTCCACCACCTCCTCCACAACCACCACCACCTCCTCGTCTGTTACCTCGCCCACTGGCCACCGCGGCCTCCTCTCCAGCCTGGGGTCCTCTTCCACCCGAACCGGCTCCACCAGTCTAACCAGCAGGTAAACTTCTTCCACCTGTGGTCATTCTGAGCTTACAGAGACAAACTATTCGGTCTTGGTAAAATGCTCGCTGTGGTAACAGGTACTGGTCAGAGGAGAGTGCAGAGAGGGAAAAGGAGAAGGAAAAGGATTCAGCTGCTGTTATCCCCACTATAAACACTGGCTCTACCACAACCACCACGTCTACCACTACCACCACCGCCATATCCACCACTACCGCCCTCACTGGCATCGGCACCGGCCCGGAACGACGCAGGTAAAACTCACTTCACTTTAAATCCTCCTCTGCAGCTCGGTTGTTCTGAAAAATGTGTCTAAAATGGCTCAACCAGGAAGTGTTTTCACAGCAATCTAGATGCTTGTAGTTTAAGAATCTTCCTCTGTGTAGTTTCCTTTTCCACACACGCTGAGGGAGAGAGTCTGCTTTAGCAGAGTGGCTCGCTGAAACGAGCCACCTGTCTGTGTGGGAGCAGGTCCGCAGTCTGGACCGCTCCAGCTGCTTCCCCATATAAGGACGGTGGGCTGAAGGCCGAGGGTCATTGGTATCGCTGTGTGGCCAACAGGAGCACGCTGCCAACCGCAACGCTTTGTTGTTTCCGTTTGTTCTTTTGCAGATGAGTTTGAGTTTTAAACTGGGAATTGTTGCTTGTTTTTTTGTTTTTTTTCCTCCCTCCATTCTGATTTTTTTTGTCATGTGTCTAATTGTTGGTGATATGGACTTGGAATTTAATCTCAGTAGTAAGTCATACAACTGAAGGTAACATAGTTACTTGCAGGGGCGGATCTAGAAAAATATTTATGGGGTGGCAAGAGGGTGGCAGGGACTTTT